AAAATATTAAAATACTAAAATTATTTTTTATAAAAAATATCTGCAATTTGAATGCACATTAATGATAGACATATTGCACATTAGCAACTAAAAGATTGCACATTAATGACTAATAGGTTGCACTATAGAGTTCGAAACAACAAAGTTTTGGGCTCGAGTATTTAAGTTACATTGTAATAAAAAATTGTATAAATATTAATAAAAATATTAAAATACTGAAAATATTTATAAAAAAAATATCTGCAATTCGAATGCACATTAATAATAGACAGATTGCACATTAGCGGCTAACAAATTGCACATTATTGACTAACAAATTGCACTATAGAGTTCGATACAACAAAGTTTTGAGTTCGAATTTTATATTTTGGTTCAATTATTTGCTTTTCATTTTTAAAATTTTGGTTATCTCAATTCAATATTAGCTTTATTGTTTTAAATAACTTGCCGATAGAACTATAAAAAAATAAATGTTATTTTGCTATATATATATATATATTTAAGTCTCTACAACAAAAAAAAAAGAATATTAAATAATAAATATATTTTCATAACATAAATTATAGATTATTTAGATTAATTTAGTTAGCTGGTTAAATAAACCGATTATTTCAGTTTTTAGTTTGGTTTGTCTAAAATCATTAAAAACACTACAGTTCGAGTGCACAATAGTGTTAGGTAGATTGCACATGAGTGACTGCTAGATTGCACTATATAGACAAAAAAATCTACAGAACTAGATTCATTGAAAATTCATGCGATTCGAACAGTGATAGACAAATTACACATTAATGATTATCATATTGTACAAATAGCGATCCAAACTGAATAGATTAAAATTTCGATTTGAAATTTTATATTTCAGTTCGATTATGTGTTTTTACTATCAAAGTATCATTTATTTCGGGATGATGTCTTTTTTTTTAATAACCAAACTAACTGAACTATATAAAATATTATTTTATATATATATATACATATTTTAGAATTATATTTTTTCAACCATAAACAAAATACATGATATTAAATATAACTATAGAAAACTTAATATTTTTTTATAATATAAAAAATATTGTATTTCAAATATTTTTGGTTAATTCGGTTAAAATATCTGAAAAAAAAATACAGGTAATCCGACTCAATTTTAATTTGATTTGGGACAAAAGTTCGGCCGGTTCAGATTACACGATAACCACATGAGCCTTGCACAATAGTGATAGTCGAATTGCACATTAATGACTGTCGGATTGCACCACAACAACCAATTAAATTTATTGGTTTGAATTCTCATATTTCAACTTGATTATCTATTTTTACATTTAAATTTTGATTGTTTCGATAAGGTGTCGGCTTTATTTTTTAAATAACCAAACTACCCGAACCGAATAAACAATGTATAAGTACTATTATTGTTGTTGTTGTTGTTGTTATTATTATTATTATTATTATTATTATTAATCATGTGTACTTTTAAATTTTTAATAATTACCAATTTAACACATGGACTCAATTGAAATAAACTTAATTTTCTTAATTTGCACACATGCCCCTAGAAGATATCTAATTTCCTAAATCATGCCCCCCATCTCATCCCCACAGGCCCACAATTCACAACCTTCACCCAAACAGTCGCCGGTCTGAAAAACGTGAGGATGACCATCAATCGATACCGGCGACGGCGACGGTGGAATGAAATCGATCACAAAGCTCAAATTGAATACAGAAATAGGAATCTAAATGTTTACAATTGGGGCTCAATTTAGGTATTCTACATTTCGCGAGCGGACGAGTGGCGGAGGAGAGCAAACGGTGTGTGATTGCGACTGCGATGGCGAAGTCCGGCGACGACATTCAGAGACGGAAGAAATCGTCGGGAAAAGCTGGTTCGCCGGCAGCGACGAGTTCCATGGCGGGGGTCGTGATGCTGAGGAGGATGTGACGCCGACGTGGAACGAAGAGTTCTGCTGTCGAGGGGGGGCGTGGTTCCACCGTCAACCGCCGCCGTGAGGTTCCGTGATCGACGGTGCGAGAGAGGGGGAGATAGATGGGAACGAGAGAGAGAGATACAGATACACAGGGAGAGAGGAGAGAGAGAGAGAGAGAGAGAGAGAGAGAGAGAGAGAGTGAGAGGGAGGCAGATCGATATTGGTGTGTGTGGGCCCAATGATAGATGTGTAATGTCCATATTATCCTTAATTATTGGTAAAATGTCTACATTTGAGAATGGTAGATAGTGAAAGAAATAAGAATGAATATGTGCCACTGGATCTACCATATCAATGGTTATGATCAAATCAAAATTTAGTCAATCATTAATGGCAACATGGTAAATTAACATACATTGTGGTCAAATGTAGACATTTTACCAATAATTAAGGATAATATGGACATTACACATCTATCATTGGGCCCACACACACCAATATCGATCTGCCTCCCTCTCACTCTCTCTCTCTCTCTCCTCTCTCCCTGTGTATCTGTATCTCTCTCTCTCTCTCTCGTTCCCATCTATCTCCCCCTCTCTTGAACCGTCGATCACGGAACCTCACAGCGGCGGTTGACGGTGGAACCACACCCCCCCTCGACAGCAGAACTCTTCGTTCCACGTCGACGTCACATCCTCCTCAGCATCACGACCCCCGCTATGGAACTCGTCGCTGCCGACGAACCAGCTTTTCCCGATGATTTCTTCCGTCTCTGAATGTCGTCGCCGGACTTCGCCATCGCAGTCGCAATCACACACCGTTTGCTCTCCTCCGCCACTCGTCCGCTCGCGAAATGTAGAATACCTAAATTGAGCCCCAATTGTAAACACTTAGATTCATATTTCTGTATTCAATTTGAGCTTTGTGATCGATTTCATTCCACCGTCGCCGTCGCCGGGGTCGATTGATGGTCATCCTCACGTTTTTCAGACCGGCGACTGTTTGGGTGAAGGTTGTGAATTGTGGGCCTGTGGGGATGAGATGGGGGGCATGATTTAGGAAATTAGATATCTTCTAGAGGCATGTGTGCAAATTAAGAAAATTAAGTTTATTTCAATTGAGTCCATGTGTTAAATTGGTAATTATTAAAAATTTAAAAGTACACATGATTAATAATAATAATAATAATAATAATAATAATAATAATAATAACAACAACAACAACAATAATAGTATTTATACATTGTTTATTCGGTTCGGGTAGTTTGGTTATTTAAAAATAAAGCCGACACCTTATTGAAACAATCAAAATTTAAATGTAAAAATAGATAATCAAGTTGAAATATGAAAATTCAAACCAATAAATTTAATTGGTTGTTGTGGTGCAATCCGACAGTCATTAATGTGCAATTCGACTATCACTATTGTGCAAGGTTCATGTGGTTATCGTGTAATCTGAACCGGCCGAACTTTTGTCCCAAATCAAATTAAAATTGAGTCGGATTACCTGTATTTTTTTTCAGATATTTTAACCGAATTAACCAAAAATATTTGAAATACAATATTTTTTATATTATAAAAAAATATTAAGTTTTCTATAGTTATATTTAATATCATGTATTTTGTTTATGGTTGAAAAAATATAATTCTAAAATATGTATATATATATAAAATAATATTTTATATAGTTCAGTTAGTTTGGTTATTAAAAAAAAAGACATCATCCCGAAATAAATGATACTTTGATAGTAAAAACACATAATCGAACTGAAATATAAAATTTCAAATCGAAATTTTAATCTATTCAGTTTGGATCGCTATTTGTACAATGTGATAATCATTAATGTGTAATTTCTCTATCACTGTTCGAATCGCATGATTTTTCAATGAATCTAGTTCTGTAGATTTTTTTGTCGATATAGTGCAATCAATCAGTCACTCATGTGCAATCTACCTAACACTATTGTGCACTCGAACTGTAGTGTTTTTAATGATTTTAGAAAAACCAAACTAAAAACTGAAATAATCGGTTTATTTAACCGACTAACTAAATTAATCTAAATAATCTATAATTTATGTTATGAAAATATATTTATTATTTAATATTCTTTTTTTTTTATTGTAGAAATAACATATATAATATAGCAAAATAACATTTATTTTTTTACAGTTCTATCAGCCAGTTATTTAAAACAATAAAGCTAATATTGAATTGAGATAACCAAAATTTTAAAAATGAAAAGCATATAATTGAACCAAAATATAAAATTCGAACTCAAAACTTTGTTGTATCGAACTCTATAATGCAATTTGTTAGTCAATAATGTGCAATTTGTTAGCCGCTAATGTGCAATCTGTCTATTATTAATGTGCATTCGAATTGCAGATATTTTTTTTATAAATATTTTCAGTATTTTAATATTTTTATTAATATTTATACAATTTTTTATTACAATGTAATTTAAATACTCGAACCCAAAACTTTGTTGTTTCGAACTCTATAGTGCAACCTATTAGTCATTAATGTGCAATATTTTAGCTGCTAATGTGCAATATGTCTATCATTAATGTGCATTCAAATTGCAGATATTTTTTATAAAAAATAATTTTAGTATTTTAATATTTTTCTCAATATTTAAATAAGATTTTATTATAATGTGTAATTTAAATAGTCGAAATGATTTTTTATGTCCAATGCTATTTTGATATCTTATAATATTTTTATTTAATATTTATTATTTATTTGAATATATATGTATAAAGAAGTATATAAAACATAATCTTTTCTTTATATATTTATTCTAAATTGCAGATTTAACCCTTTACCTAAATTGAAATATAATCAAAATTCAAGAAATTATGAATAGGACCTTAAAAAATATCTAATTTTCAAAAGAAAACCCACTCCCAAATTGAATGATTTCCCAGCCAAAACCAAACCCTCAATTTCATCTCATTTTTCGGCCAAATCCAATAATTCCATTTCATCTCGTCGCCGATAACATTCCATTGATTTCTTCCTGAGCAATATCCTGCCGTCGAGTCCCAAGTCCATCAATCCATCCGACACCTACATCAAACATATTCGTCATCCCCCTCCCCCAACTCAAAAACAGCCGCTGTTCGGCTCACCCCGTGCGCGGCGGCGTGACTCCGACCAGTCGCCCTGAGTGGACTGGTGACGCGATGGCTCGCCGATTTTGTGTCGTGTAGACCAGCGAACAGGGGAGATATACCTGCAACGGCTCGCCGGCAGTCGACGGGGAGGCTAGACCTTTGGAGCATGTCACCGTAGTCGATTGTTGCTGTTGTAGTATCCGCCGCCATCGATGGGCAAACGCCGGTGAGTGAGCGGCCGGGGAGTCTTTTTTGCGGCAGTCTGTCCGCGTTTTTTGTTCCGCGTCCGGTGACGGCGCCGGACATGGTCGACGGATGACGTGCAGTAATCATGTGCCGCGTCCGGCGACGGGGATAGACACGGAGCGACGGCCGTCGGAACTGAAGCGATGGCCGCCGGTGGTCGGTCTGGTGGTGGGGCGGTGAATGTGTATATATGTTGTGTGTGCGTGCGAGAGAGAGAGAGAGAGGGGTAGGTAGGGTGGTTGGGTGACTAGTAGGTAGGGTTAGGTGGCAGCCATATTTAATGTTGTTTGATTGTAGTGTAAAAATTACTTTAACGTCCTTAATGAAGGTGTATTTTTTGTATTTTACAAGCTGTTGGATCATGCGATCTAATGGCTACGATGTATTCTTATTTCTTTCATTAAGCACCATTCTCACCGGAGCGCGACCCTATATATATATTATTCACACTTTTGAAACTAGTTGCTGACGTCTCCAACTTACATTACACAATCACATGCCAAACATAGACCCAAAACGGTTTGAAGCATAAATAACTTCTGAAACTTCAATAAATGTTGCTCGATTAGAACGGGAATCAATTTATGTCAGAATTATCCCCGACAGAGAACAACACAATTTCAATTGTGACAGAAAAATGATGTGCAAATGAATTTTGATTGAGATGAAATTTTCTGGTTATGACCTCCAAAACAACACGGCCCATAACATACGTCACTTTAATCATAATGGAAGCCGACCATGCCAAAATTTCATTGGACATAGAACACCAAGTGTAAATGAAAATGTGTAGAAATGTTTTTCGGAGAATTGAATAGAGAAACAAACTCTAATTGAGCATAAATTTTATGGGTATGATCGTCTCAAGCATGCAAGTGCAATGGTAGGTCATCAATTAGGAAGGGTGGTACTATTTACCGCCCCCATTTTACTACTCACCGCCCCTCTTAGACGATTTTGCCCTTCTCATTTTTTCTAAACATCTCAGAGGAAAGTGTACGGTGAAATGTCGTCAAATTCGGATGTACGAAAAATTTTGTGTCCGGCCGCCGGAACCTGACGGCTTAAAAACCGTCCAGTTCCGGCGGCCGGACTGGCTAAAAGCCGTCCGGTTCCGGCGGCCGGACATAAAATTTTTCGTACATCCGAATTTGACGACATTTTACCGTACACTTTCCTCTGAGATATTTAGAAAAAATGAGAAGGGCAAAATCGTCCAAGGGGGCCGGTGAGTTATAAAATGGGGGCGGTAAATAGTACCACCCTTCCTAATTGATGACCTACCATTGCACTTGCATGCTTGAGACGATCATACCAAGCAAGGAAAGAAAAGATACAACATATCCTAACCAACTGCAGACCAAGCAAGGAAAGAAAAGATAAGAAACACACAAACAAATAACAACAAGCAACACCAAGATATTGGATTAGTTGTTTTGGAATTAACTAGATTTCCTCATAAAATCAGCATGACTGGCTTGAGAATTAGATTTATTCGTTTGGAATTTCAAGTGAGATTTTGAGATTTTTTAAGATTTGAGACTTTTTAAGATTTTTCAGATTAAGGATGAATTTGATGAAATCTTAAGTTTGAATGCGGTATTTGGAAGAAAATTTATATAATCTCAAACTAAAGTTAAAAATCTCAATGAATACCTCTAGACTTGTAAAAATCCTAAAAAGTCTAAATTAAATGCATCAGAATTTTTAGTCTAAATTAAAAATCCTAAAAAGTCAATGCAAGACTCACCTAGTCTTGGTCCAAGATTAGTGGGGAGACATAGGAATAAAATAATTGTCTTGGTTACTACAATGTCCCCCACTCATTCCACACAAGACCAAACCTTCTCCTAAGTATTTGAGCTCAGCAAACCCCTAGGAGAGACCACCAAAAACCGAGATTTGACCCCTCAAGTCTTGCAAGACATCACCAACACCTATGAACATAAAAATAATGGGATGTCCCCCACTCACCTCACCGTAGTCTTGGTCCCTCCACTTCCAACGTTTAAAATCCTTTCCCTCAGCATTTTTTCCAGCATTTGGCACTTAGAACACTTAGAAAAATAGAGAGAAAAGGAGAAGAACTCACCTAAGCCCTTGCCCTCACTCCCGCGCGCGCAAGGCCACCTTGATGAAAATGTGGTCATCGACCCTGGCGAACCCGAGCTCGAGTACCACGATGGCCTCGAGAGATGGCGAGAGGTTAGGCGGGAAAGGGATCGAGGACGTGCTAGAAGGGTGTGCGCACGCACTAAGGCGCGCGTACCGACGGGACGCGGCAACCGAGCCGCGAGACGAGCAAGCCTAGGTCGGGTGAAGAAGAGGTGTGCGATGGGAAATGCGTGTGAACATGAGGGTTGGGCCGACGACGAGAGTAAGAAGGTAGTGCCCGGGAAGGTGGACGACTGGTGCAAGGCGTGCGCGAGAGAGCGTCGTGCACGGCGAATGCGGGCTAAGGCAGAAGGTGCACGAGGGGTGGATGTAGGGTGGACAGCGTGCACTTGGGGCGGCTACGATGGAGCGGACGCGCGAGTGGAGTGGGGTGTTGCGATGGGCTCGACGAGCGGATGCGAGCAAGACGCGATGATGGGAGTCACGCGCGAGGCGATGGTCGAGTGGGACGAAGAGGTCGATGAGGCGATCGTGCCCGACACACGTGCACGTGGCTGGGACGCGCTCGGAGTGATGGGCGAGCGCAAAGGTGAGGCTGGGCATGCTGGCGTGCGAGGCACTCGCGCGATGGGCGAGCACGCGTGGATAGAAGGGCGAGGGCGCGCAGCGCGCAAGAGTGGCGACGCGTGGGAGGCGCGCGCGCGCATTACCGCGCGAAAGAAGGACTAGGGCTAGCGAGGCGGCGCGCGACCACGGACAGTTAGGGTTTTCGCACGACGACTTGGCGGGCAAGCAAAGGAGATTTGGGACGTGATTTACTTAGCATCTGTAGGATTTCTAGTATGGTTAGGAGTTTAAATAAAAGGCATGTGCCTATTAGCATTTTGTTAGTTAAGAAAGTCTTTATTCACAAGATGTTTAGTTGCCTTAGGATTAATTTACTTGCATGATTTAGGAGTCCTTTCTAGACTAGGATTAGATCTATTTGGTACCTATAAATACCCACCTATGTACCATTCGAAAATATGGATTGATGAGTGAATAGAAAAGTCGAACGTTATGTTCAAAGTTCTCGTGTGTTTTCTCTCGCGAGTTTACATAGAGTTCGCGGTAGAAATAGGACCAACATCCGAGTTTCGTCACAGTGATTGGAATAGGACCAACATCCGAGTTTCGCCACACCTATCGCGAAGTACGAAGGCGTCGGCGCGCGTATTAGCAACCTATCGTGAAGGAACCAAGGCGTCGGCGCGGGTTTCAAGCAAATCGAGCTAGGCGTAACACACGATCCTTCATCATTGGTGCTTTCATTGAGAGTGATTGATCGTGTGTTGGGTTGAACTTTTTCTTCCCCATTCTATTTTCAAATTTTACTTCTTTTTCGTGAGTATTTCAAAAAAAAAAAAGAGAAAGAGTCGAGTGATGATGACACATAAGGAGAGGATTGAGGTGTAACTCCCCAAATTAGTAATAATATTAAGAACGGTTTCACTGCTCCACTTTAAGTGAAATCCGTAATTTTCAGAATTTTCCGAGTTATATTTTATATGCTAAATGCTCAAATATAATAGATTATTCTTTGAAATATTCTATATCAAGTTTAAGTCAAGATTAATCCATTAATTTGGGTTGTTAAATTATAGCTATTCGACTCGAGAATTTATTTGGCTTCGAACCCTAGTTTGTTCTGAGTCATTTTTCTAGTAAATCCCGAGTATAGCCGAGAATTGGTATTTTGATACTTAGAATATTTTTCTAATTGTATTAAAATATCAAAGTCAAGCCTTGGACATTTAATAATCGAGCCTAGCACTTAATCGAGCCGCTCGTGCCAAAGCACCCGAACCCGCGCCCAACCATGTGCCACCGAGCCCAAGGCTTTGTACTAGACTTAGCACATTATTTCTAAAATATTATTAAGTGTTGAGAACCCTTCCTAACCCCTTATACCCGGCCCAAGCTTATTCCACGCGAGCAGCCCGCACAGACCCCGCGCTCAGCCCAGCAGGCTGCGCCCAGGCCGTGCCAGCCCAGCAGGCCGCGCCCAGCAGCGAGGTCCAGCGCCCAGGCCCAGTGCGGCAGCGTGGCAGGCCCACCATTTTGAGCCCAGAATCTTGGATTTTTGGCCCAATTTCCTCATGACCCATTTCATGCGAGTAATCAGGACTTAATGAGGGACTAATGGAGCTTAAGTTGCCCTAAGAAAGGTTTAAGCAAAGACAATTAGCATGGGGATTATTTTAATGCTAGTGCATGATGAAGTATGAATAGTTTATTGTGCATGTGCAGCCCTTGTCCCCCACCCCCGACCAGACCTGCCACCTAAGTGGAGGAATCTCACTACATTTGGTCTCCCTTTGACCAACCTTGTAAGCTCCGTCCCCTTAGCCTATTTAGGACCTTATTCATCAGCTTTTGTGAGCTCTTGGTCAGTTAAACACTCGCATATAGTGATAAGAGAGGAGAGAAACCGAGGCCAAAGTCCCCAGCCCATTACCGCGAGCGAGCAGCCCCGGGGGAGGAGAGCTTCAGCCATCTCGAGTTCCAAGTGAATTCCTCCAGGGCTTATCATATTCTAAGTGTTTCTTAGAATTTTATAAGTCTTGTGGAGTTCATTAGCTCGGCCAAATACCACTACAAGTCAGCCTTAAGTCCCAAAACCGTGAACAAGCCCCATTCAAGCCCTAGTAGCCATTTTCAATTTTCGGTGAAGGTTAGCCCAAACCATCTTTTAACCATAGATATTTTATGATATTTTAGAATTTTTCATGAAGAAAAATCGAGCCATGCATGTGCTAAACTTAAGTTCCGAATTTATTAATTAAATGGCCTTAAAAATAAATTTTTAGTAGCAAGCATGCTGTTGACGGACGTTTCCGGTCAACGGTTAAAAAGATAAAGATAATGCGGAAAAGACAAAGAAATACGGTTAAATTATGGTTTTATTGGTTGATCGCGAGGTCGGCCTCTCG